ATTAGGAAAGCTTCTAGACGAATCCATTTATTCGAATGATATGGGCAACCGAAAGTTGTGGGAATATAATCTAGAGGATCAAGTTCACACGGTGCCTTTCACCCAGAGAAAAACACACAAGTTCACCAACGTTTAAACAGCTGGGCAGAATGAGTCCTGCCACCGTCATGAACTCCACCAACTTGCGGTTTAATGGCCGTGCGCCTCATTTGAGAGGGTGGAATGTTCACCATTCTGGGAATCCCAGTTGCTAACAACTAACTCATACTAACTTTCTAATCATTACCCTTGTCAAAAAAAAAAAAAAAAAAAAAACAGCTGGGCAGAATGGCAGACCACCGAGTACGTATTCTAGCTAGGCCTCACTAGTTAGTGGTACATGTAGTTTGGCTTCTTTAATTAAATTTTTTTTCTAAAAAAAGTCAATATTTTTGGCAACATATTGATCTCAAAATAAGGTTAGAATTCTCATTTTAATTTAATCTTGGTTTATCTAATATTTTCGATATTATTCTTAAAATTATTTCATAAATATACTGTCGGAGAACTTGATAATTGTATAGAATTTTTTTTATTGTTTTTTTATATAATTTAATTAACAAAAAAAATTATACATATAACTTTGGATTTTGTTGAATTTTGTATTTTTTTTTCTAAGTATAATCAACAGCCAACAACTATCAAATATAGAAATATAATTGACAACCAATGGCTGTCGACTATACTTGAGAAAAAAATATAAAAAATTATTGACAACCATTTGCTGTCGATTAAATAGGTATAATTGACAATCATTGGTTGTCGATTATACTTGGCAAAAAACTAAAAAACATTATCATCAGCCACCTTGTTGTCGATTAAAATTATATAATCGATAGCTAGTAGCTATCTATAATCTTTTTTTTTTTTTTTGCCAAGTATAATCAATAGCTAATAATTGTTGATTATATAATTTTAATAAACAGCAACTGGCTGTTGATTATATTCATTTTCAACGACTATTCATACAATAGACATGATTGTCAATTATGTCTATTGATTATAACTTAATTGACAAAAATCCTTATATAATCGGCAACATTTTATGTCAATTATACTCTGTTTCCTAGTCGTGATTTCTTTCATTCCTACTCATCCATTATTTCTCTCTCAATCACCTCCCTCATTTCTCAACTTTTACTCTTTTTTTTTTTTCTCAAGCCTCAATTTTCTCTACGGGGTTCAAAATTGAATTCAAGTTCATTAACAATGCAACTCATGGAAGTATAAAAGCAAGAACTGAATAACTATGAATTAAAACATGAAGAACAAAGATTCAAATTACAATATCAAAGGAGTTTGGAAAATGCAAATAAAAACTAACATGAAAGACACATTTGATTCCAAAATGATAGCAATAGGGAAAAAACTCCATTGTTCACTTATTCAAGCCTTCATTAGTAGCAATTCTACGATCAACCTTGTCTAAGTGAAACTATAAGCATTTTGAATCCTGCAGATCTTGAATCTTATGCTTCAAAGTTAGAGACCTTTCCATGTCATGACCAATGGTCCCATTATGATAATCACATCTAGCTTGTGGATCATAACAAAATGACAAAGGATTAAGAGGCTTGTTTGCAAGGATTGGACTCAATTCCCCAAGCACTATCATTTGATTAAATATCTCTTAATATGATAATGGTAGGGCATCAAAATGTCGATGCTTCCTTCCCTAATTTTGAATTGCTTCTCAAAGCCGAGATGCAATAGAATTCACCATTTGTACATCATTCTCTTTTTAGTCCTTCTCACACTGGTTAACTTTTTTCATGTGAGTCAAATTATCCAATTCCAACAATTTACCATTTTGCTGTTGTTCAAGAATATCCTTTATAACTTGGTAATCTAAGATAACACCAGATTTGATTCCATCTTCAACTTGTTCTCCCACAACAACCAACTGAGCAAAAGTATAATTCACACAAGTTATTAACTTCTCATGGTATGGCCTTTTGGTTGACTTAATCAATAAATTACTCAATTCATGATCAGATAATGACGGTTGAACTCAAGCAGCCAATCCATGCCAATCTTTTAAACTTTTGCTACATTTTCCAAATTTTTGCCAAGTTCATGTTTCTTGCTTACAGTTTTTATATTTATCTAATTATATTTTCTACACTTTCTTTTGTTAATTTCTAGCATCAATCTTAAACTTATTTAATTTTCAGTACTTTAATTTAATTTTTTTTAATACTTGTTTGCCATAACCAAAGTCTTTAACATGCTTCTAGAGCAATTCTAAACTCATTATACAAGAACTAACTCCTCATTTCTACCAATCATTTGATTTAGGCACATTTCATCTTAAACAACGTTCTTCTAACAATACTTTTCTACAGGAAAAAAACTAAGTGGAAGTCGGAAAATCTTTTTTCTATTTTTCTAGCAAAAATAGGTGATGCGCCTTCTATCCCAATTTCTAACACAGGGTGTGGTTAAGAGGATTTTTGGGGTAACAGTAGTGATTGTTTTATCATCAGCAGATATTAAGGCCTTGGAGGTAATAAACAAAGAATCTGCTGATACACCCAAGCCCGAACCA